GAGCTTCTACTCTAGCAAATAAGAACTCTCAAGGAGGGCTAGGAATGTGGCTTAGTGGTAGAGTGCTTGCCTAACATGTGTAAAGCCCTGGGTTCAATTCCTCAGTACCATATAAACAGAAGAAGGTGGAAGTGGTGCTGTGGCTCAAATGGTTGAGTACGAGCCTTGAGCAGAAGAAGCTCAGGAACAGTGCCCAGGCCCTGAGTTAAAGCCCTGAGACTGGCCAAAAAAAAAAAGGCTCTCAAGGAAAGAAGACATAGGCATGCATGCATGCATACCGCACACATACGTGTGCGTGCGCACATCCCGGGTAAGAGTCTCTAAATGAGAAGAAAAGACATCAGAGAACTCCAAGAACTGTTCAGTCTAGCTACTCAATAAACCCACAGAGATAAAAACAAAGCTCAGCATTTAGACCCGCCTGGCCCGCTCATCCCACCTGCATCCACCTTCACTCCCCACAGTGACCTCCATTTCTGACAAGATGGGAACACTGTCTGGGCTCAAGACCTGGCTGAACCACTCAAAACTGCATCATTTGGGACTAGCTGCTACAAACAAACAAATAATATAAATAAATAATATAAATAAATAAAATCACTCCAGGTCTCAGTTTCCCTCACATGTAAAGTGAGACCAATGGTATCTTCCTTTGGGACAGTTCTGTAGTTAGTGAGTTAATCTGTGTAAAGTGTTTGGAATAAAGCCTGGTAGAGAACTGGTAACTGGTAACCTGTTAAGAAGGAGTAAGTTGTTAAGACTCTGTCCATGTGAAATGATCTCCATCTTTCTGTCTACTGACCCAAATCCATTTGTTTTACAAAGAGCTAAGCCAACTAGGTCCAGCCCTGGCCTTGGGATCCCAATCTCCATGAGGGAATAGATGGACATTCCAGGAAAAATCACCACTGCCCTTCAGCATGAAGGGAACTCATGTGGACTGGCGGAATTCATGAAGTGCCTTTGGTTGACTCGAATGCCCAATGCCTGCCATGCTGGTTCTACAGCAGAGGCATCTGCTCTGTGTTCTCTGAATGTTTCCACAAATCTGTCTAGATACAGCCTACAAGAGAGGGAGGTGCCCATGCTAGGAGAGAACCTCATTATTCTGTCTCTCCATCTACTCCTCCTTGATGACCACCTTCTAGCCACTGGTATCTGGTTCGTCTGGGACATTTAAGCACTTTTAGAAGAAAATCCCCAAGACCGTGGAAGCTGGGTTTTGGGGGCTAGCATGACTCTGAACTACTTGATTACTGGTAGATCCTTTTCATGCCCTCTTGGAAGCACAGTGTATCAGTGAGGTCAGTGAACACTGAGTCAGGCTTTCCCACATGATTTCAGTACACTGCATCTTCATAAAAAGACATCGATGTTCCCGCATTCTGTAAATGAGGAAAACAACGCACCAACGACTAGCCATCGAAAAATTTAGGCAAGCCATGGTAGCAGCCATACTTCATTCCTCCACCAGGTCTAATTGGCTGGTTCCATCACTACACATCCAAAAGGGAAGGAAAACACCCAGAGTCAAAAGGAAGACAGGGTCCCCTTCTTAAAATAAGCTTCTTGAGACCCTCCCCTGAGCCCACAGATCCAGGTTCATCAAAATCACATTGTTCCTCCAACATTTCCAACTTCTCCAAAAGCAGAGACCTAGCCAATGCAGAAGTAGCACAAAGCACGCATCCAGCTGGTTTTTACTTTGTAGGGATGATCCAGGAGGCTTTGTAGAAAAGCACTGTTTCAGCGAAAGCTTAAATGAGGCAGTGTCTCAAAATAAGAGGAAGGACCCAAAGACATGTACCCCATGCTGACAGGGGAGGGAAGAGGGCTGGGATCCAGTTTATTTTTAAACCTCATACACAGATATCTGTTACTACCCTACTATTGTAAGTTCCCATGAACAGAGGCTCAGAGGAACACCCTGGCAGTCAAAGCTTGGGGATATGGTTTTGGGTCACTACTGGTTAAAAAGGAAAAGAGACCCCAGACCATCCAAAACTAAATGTACCCTAGTCCTGTCCAATGACCCCAAACTTGGTTCTTGACATTCTCTCTGGTACTCCCCAACTCGAGTAGCAAGGAACAGCCCTCTACATGTAAGCCACTATAGTGCTGAGATCAAGATTCTTGCTAAAACTAAAATAATGATGCATGCAGTGCTGGGCTTTAAAATAGTTTAGGGTCCCCCACAAGATAGATGGATGGATGGAAAGGAGGGAGGGAAGGAGGAAGGGAATCCTGAGAAGCAAGATGCAACCACAGTCAGTTTCACAGCCAAGAGTCTCCATGAAAATCCCTGGCTCATTCAGCTCCAAGGCCACGTGTTTTATTCAATTCACTGGGAACAATCCGGGGTCAATTTCCTCAGCACAACAGAGCAGAATTTGCAGTTTCCTCAATGGTGGGAAGAGTGAGTAACAGCTTAGGTAAACCAACATGTGTAAATAAAAACCTGTGATGCTGAAACCAGGGAGGGTGGGGGAACTTAAGCAGGAGGTAGCTGGAGGGCAAAGGCGGCACTAAGAGCAGAAGCCTCCTCCTGCAGATTAATTCTCTAACTATATATCCATAAAATTGCAGGAGCTGCTAAGTGATTTCATCACTGCATCTATATTACTGGCTTCCCAATTAGTCATAATCTAATATGCCCAGGGTCACCTATATCCAACAGGTGGGGTGAATTTCTAAAATGATGCAGTAGGTTTCGTCTACATATCTGTCCTGGCCAGAATAGCCAAGTCCCATGACAATGTCACATAAGAAAATAGAAGAAGCTAGGGGGGGGGGGGGGGGGGGGGAATCTTCCTGATTCCAAGCCACGGAAAAGACATTACCACATTCCCAAAGATAGGAATACTCTAATGCCATTTCCAAATAACAAATACGCGGTTTTGTTTCATACGGATGGATTTTTTTTTTTAATGAGACTCTTATTAAACATTTTGTTGAGGAAAGCACAGAAGCTTGTTTGATGCTCTAGAGATATTTTGAACCACCGTAGGTGAAATTGCAAAACCTTCAGATACAGTACGCAATATAAACACATTCTGGAGGAGGAAAAGGAATGGTGAGGAAATTAAATCAACCAATATTTATCCAGGGCCTGGGCCTTCATCTAAAGATGCCCCTGTCAGAGAGTGTCCCTTAACTCAGCTTTCTGTGAGAAGCAGAAAGATGCAATTAGAGTCTTCCTGAAAAAAAAAAAAATAAGCAATTAATCACACATTGCTCCAGATTAATTGCATAGCCTCTGATGCTCAACATCATTCTTCCTTTGCCCCTGCAATCTGACTCCCCCGTGTCCTCCTTGGGTTTTCAGATCACTGATTAACACCCTACATTCTGACCCAGCCAGCCCACCACTAACCAGAACTACGACTCCTCCGTAACACACACACATACACACACACACACATCCTCCAATCCTATTTGTGACCTTCAGTGTCCTATGCATGCCAAGGTTACACTGCCCACTAACCTCACATCCTTCACCTCCAGGCCTCCACTCCTGCCCTGCTCCTTGATGCCTATGTAAAACCTCCCAGCCCTGCTGGGCCAACACAAATCCATCTGACGGCACATTCAACAGCTAGTTAGATCGCTGCTTCTCCTACCATCACCCAGGCTGCTTTGGGTGATGGAGCAAATCAACCAGAAAGGCACATCTAAACACCACCAAAATCCATCTGAATTTTAAACCCAGACCTTGAGCAAGGGGAAGAAAGACCACCTCAGCATCTTTCAATACAAAAAACCTCGCTTGAATTCAATCACAGCCCACAACCTTATCTCATAGCCATTTCCTGATTCCTCATTAATGATCTTGAGATCTTTTCAGGAACCTACTGTTAAAAATTGCACCCCATGGGGAGACAGACAATCATCCAGGAACCAGGATGACATCCCTCCAAATCGATCATCTAAGCTAACATACACAACAAATAGGTGATGTATGCTGCCAAGGAGAAAACCAAATTCTGCTCTTCTCCTCATTAATTAATTACCCAACCTTGCCCCCGAGAGCATTGGAGGGAAGGAGCCAGGGTATCTGGGGAACAGCAGAGCTGGTGCAAAACCCTCCTGGGAAAACTTGCTCTCCAAAAACAGAATGTCACCAAGCTCCTCCATCCAGAGGCTACTGCGTTTCACAGAAATTCTAGGAAGGCTGCAAGCCAAGACCCTCTAACTCAAGCACTGTGTTAATGCATGTTTCAATAGCTTTAAGAAGAATGCAGGGAAGACCTTCTAGGTCAAGAGGCTTGCAGTGATAAGTTCCATGTCCATTTTCTAGTTTCCTGGTAGGGGGTGGGTTAGGCCCCCTCTGTGAAGCTGGGGGTCTGTGAATCAGTGACACAACGACATCACACTCCTAGCTCACAGGAACAGGGCTTTCTCTGGCTGCCCGAGCTCTCCTCCCAGCTCCCAGCTCTCTGATCTCACAGCATACTTGGAGAAGAGCCGAGCATCGTTTCTCTGTTAGAGCTCGGCTTCAGCCACTTGCAGCTCAGTTAAACCCCTCAGGAAACCCTTTAGCTTATGAGATGGGAGGGGGGTTAGAAGGCTTCCAACAGAGTCAAGATAGCAACCATCCACCCACTTGAGATAGACAGATGCACGGATGGACACAGAGATGGGCAATTCTGTTTAACTCCTGCACTGTTCCTCTTTGACCGAGGATTTGTACTGCTAGGAATCTCCCAGTCTCTCCTTTCCTCTGAAGAACACTAAAGACGGAAAAACTAACCCAAAGTGCCCAATTGGCAATGAGGATGGGGCATGAAGAGGCACAGGTTACCTTACATGCTGCAAGATGAGAAGATTAACCACCTAGCATCCCTCCCTCAATCCCAAACAGGTAGATAGACTGCTTTCCAAATCCAGATCAGCACTTCCCTCCCTGGCACTCCCCCAACCCTCCCCCCCCCCACCACCTTTGGCACTGTATGGCAATGCATCAATGCAGGTTCCTCCGAGAAAGTCAAATTTTCACTTACTCAGATCTACCAAGAATCCCCAGTGCCTTGCTGTACGAAAACCCCACAAACGGCAGTTCTTCACCAGAGAAACCCGGGGGGCTCAACTGGCACGGAGTGGACGAAACCCACGAATTCTTCTCTGGTTCATCAAAATTGGAGGTGTCATCATCAGACTTGAGGGTGGGAACGAAGGGGGGAGGAGCTGGTTAAAGAGAAAAAAAAAAAAAAAAACAAGAAGGGGGAGAGAGGAGAATTCAGATGGATTCCACACTGTTGCGGGAGAGAAGAAAAAAGCGTCTTACTCCTCGGGCGCCAGCGACAGCACTGCAGCGCCTGCTTTCAATCTAGCTCCTCACAGAGGCAGACCCAGCCTCAGCTCCTACAGCAACAAGAGATTAACCCCTTCCCTGCCAACATGGCCACCAACCCGCAGACAGCCTGAGCTGCCCCCCCCCAGGATGGGGTGGGGGGGGAGAGGGGGGGAAAGCAAAGGATAAACTCAGACAGGTCACTTGGTCCGAAGAAAGCACTTGGGCAAGTCTGTGACTTCTTCTGCTTTTCTTCCTGATTATTTCCAGAGCATCAGCAGGTCAGTACCAGCATGCCAGATGAACCTAAACCTATTTAGTCCCTCTCTTCCAGACAGATCTAAATTATTAATAGTTAGTGCTCAGCGCTGAACTGAGGTGGAATGGCTACAGTGTTGGTGGACTAACGGGAATGGAAGGATCTGGGAGGTTCTGGAACTCATGCTAGGGTACCACTGCAGTCTGGTTCATTCATTTCTAGATAAGCCTACTCAGATCTTATTAACCACTTTTTGTTTGTTTGTTTGTTTTTAATTCATTCTCCCTCCTCCCTAACACATTCATGCCATCAAACCCACTGCAGTTTCATCAGCATAATGAAGTGCCAGCCAAATAAAGTTCCTCCCTTTGATCTCCAGCACCCCGTGTGCAGACAGTGGGTCGCACGCACAGACATCTGCAGCGGGGTTCCTACCTCCTTATGGCATCACATCCTCTCCGTTTTCTGCCGACCTACTAAGCTTTCTTGGTCTAGGAGGCGGACACTGATCCATCCGTCACCAGAATGCTGCCCATCGCCAGGGGCTCCCAGGAGTGTCTCTGGCCACAAGCGTTGCCATGGCTGCAAGCTGGGGCGTCCGTGGTGGGCTGAGCCAGGGGAAGTTGGCCAGCGGGCATCACATTCCCCGCAGTGCAGGCTGCATGCTCCCCACTTGAGGGGGGTGCTGCTGCTGCTGCTGCTGCTGCTGCTGCTGCTGCGTGCTCTGGCTGTAAACCCACCTGGCCGCTGCGTGGCAGGGACCAATGCCGATCTGAGTGGCAGAGCAGCATGAGTCACTGTCCGCCAGGGCTCGCTAGAGCTCCCCCTAAGGACAGTTGTCACAGCCCTTCATGGCCCAGACTTTTTTTCTTCTTCTTCTTCTTTTTTAACTCTTCGTTTTCTGGACAAAGCTTGTGTGCTAGATATGAGCTGTGCTCTGCTTACACGCTAAAGAAACTGGCTGTTTCCAAAGCTTTCCTCATGACAACCACCCTCAGAGGGCAGCGCTGAGAAATAAGGAGCCATGGAGGGATGCAGAGGAAAGAGGAAGCCAGAAGTCGGCCTGCCTCTGGGAAGTACAGAGAATATTCTCAGAGCTCCAGGTACACTGAGCTAAGGTGGGAAATGCAGGAAGAGCAACGATGTACAGTGTGCACTCCCAGAAAATTATTTAACACCCCCAAGCTCTCTCAAGGGAATGTAAATCTTCTCTGTGAGTGTCAGAATCTACCTGTTAATATTTGAAATTAGCTGATGGAGAGAAAATTTAGCTCACATCCCATGTCTACCTACAATGCAGGCTCAAATCCAATATAATTGCAATTACTCAATTCCTTCTTTAAAAAAAAGTAAATGCAAATTAAAATTTATAAGAATCAAAAAGAAGCCAGTGCCAGTGGCTCGCACCCATAATCCTAGCTACTCAGGAGGCTGAGATCTGAGAACTGTGGTTCAAAGCCAGCCCAGGCAGGAAAGCCCAAGAGATTCTTATCTCCACCAGAAAACTGGAAGTGGACTATGGTTCAGTGGTAGAGTGCTAACATTGAGCCGAAAAGCTCAGGAACAGCTCCCAGGCCTGGAGTTCAAGCCTCACAACAAAACAAAACAGAACAAAAATACAAGCCGGGCACCAGTAGCTCACGTCTGTAATCCTAGCTACTCGGGTGGCTGAGATCTGAGGATCGTGGTTCAAAGCCAGTCCAGGCAGGAAAAGTCTGTGAGACTCTTATCTCTAATAAACCACCAGAAAACCAGAAGTGGTGCTGTGGCTCAAGTGGTAGAGCACTAGCCTTGAGCTGAAGAGCTGAAGGATAACACCCAGGCCCAGAGTTCAAGCCCCACGACCGGAAAAAAAAAAAAAAAATACAAAAGAGAATTTTTCCTAACCCCAAATAAAGAAACTCAGAAAAAGACATAAAATGTTGGAGAGAGATTTTCAGACTATGCTAAGATGGAAACACATGGGCTGGATCTCAGTTCCAATCTAACCTCTGACACTTGTCAGCTGTGTAACCCTGGGAAAGACACTTAACCTCTCTAAGCCTTGGGTACTATGTGAAAATAACTACCTCAGGAGGCTGTTGGAGCCAGGTGCTGGTAGCTCATGCTTATAATCCTAGTTACTATGAGGCTGAAATTTGCGGATACAGGTTCAAAACCAGTCCAGGCAGACAAATCCAAGAGGTTCTTATATCCAATTAACTAACATAAAGCCAGAACTAGAGACATGGCTCAAGTAGTAGAGCACTAGGCTTGAGCAAAAAAACAAAAAACAATAACAACAACAACAAAAGAACAAGCAGGTGGAAGATCTTGAGTTCAAGCCCCAGTACAGGCGTGCAAACATACACACATAAACAGGCTGTTGGAAGGAAATAATCTATATCAACATAGTTCTTAGCATGAGTAAACACCTCATAAAAATTACCTCTATTGTCATTATTATTATCATTACAATTATTGCTCACATAAGGTACATAATTATGGCAGATCTTGTAGTAATCAGAACCTATTGAGATACAGCAGAATCTATAGTGAATGTTCTTTCTTTGAGAAGCACAGACCCATCAAGGTGAATGTTTATGTTAATCCTATCGTATCATTTAATTCCAAGCAGAAGTTTAATTCCCTTTCCACTATATACTAATTTATCTTTTAGCGACTAAAATAGAATTTCATTTCTAAGTGAGGAATATGATTAATAGAGGGGTAGGAGCCACGTTCACTGAAATAATTATGATTTGAATTTCTGTAACTATAAAATGAGATTCATCTATAAAACTCCATCACGCTCAAGATCACTTTCGAGTTAAGAGGGAGGAGAAGTCAATGTGAAATACACCAGCTGGCTGACTCACATCTGTAATCCTGGCTGCTTGGGAGACTGAGAATGGGAGGACTGAGGTTCAAGGCCAGCCTGGGCAACAAAGTTCACAAGACCCCCTTTCTCATTCCTCAGCTGGGAGCAGTGGCAAGTATCTGTCATCCCAAGCTACCTGAGAAGCAGTGGAGGACTCAGGTCCCAAGCTAGCCCAGGGAGGTTAAGTCTGTGAGATTTCCACAGAAAGGAGGCTGAGGCTGGGAAGGTGGCTCAGTGGTAGAGTGCTTGCCTAGCATGCATGAAGCCCTGGGTTCAATTCCTCAGTACCACATAAACAATAATAATAATAATACTTTAATTAAAGAAAAAGAAAGGAAGCTGAACAGGTGGTCCTCATCTGTGATCCTAGTCACAGCAAGGACAGAGAGTCTAAAAGTAGGTGAATGAAGGCTCAGGTGCCTGCCTGGGCAGGAATCAAGATCCTCCTAAAAATAACCAGTGAAAAACAGAGCTAGGAGGTGTGGCTCACCAAGATCCTTCCAACCTAGCAAACCCAAGGCTCTAAGTTCAAAAACCCTAGCACTGCCAAAAGTAAAATATATTAAAAAAAAAATATATATATATATATATCTAAACAGGAGAGGGAGGGGGAGGGCAGAGCAAGGGGTAACAAGTCAGGTAACAAGGAGCAGATGTAAAGCTAAACAAGTTAAGTGAAGTACAACAGGAAACTCTGAAAAGGAAGGCCTCTGAGGGCCACATGTATGCAAGGGGAAAAAATACATCTTAAAGAGAAGTGAAGGAACTAGAAAACTTCTACTCTCTACAAAGTGAGGAGATGCTCACTCTTGTCCATGGCCCTTTAGTGGGAAAGCGATACAGCAGCCAGTAAAAAGCTGCAACCTTGGGTAGGTGCAGACATTTACCGTAGAAGCACAATTGGGAAATTAACAAGGATCCTGGCTTAGGAACACTGAGCCCTTAGTACATCTGCAGCCATGAGTGGAGGATAACCACAAATAACTTCACAACCTAGGACACATAAAGTCCCTCTCCCTTCTTTCCCCTCTCTCTCTTCTCTCTTATCTCTCCCCTTTCTCCTCCTCTCCCTCTTCTCTCCCCACCCTCATACAAATACACATATAAATTCCTACCAGAAATTATTTCACAATATAAAAATAAAAACTACACTGATCACGGAAAAATAAAATACCCAAGGTTAGAACCATGAAGGAGTACAGTATAAGAAATGGGAAATCAGGTGCAGGTGGCTCACACTTGTAATCCTAGCCACTCAGGAGACTGAGATCTGAGGATTGAAGTTCAAAGCCAGCCTGGGCAGAAAACTCCCCATGAGATTCTTAGCACCAATAAACTACTCAAAATAAAAAACCAGAAGTGCGACGTGGCTCAATGGTTGAGTACAAAGAGGATGAGGGACAGTACCCAGGCCTTGAGTTCAAGCCCCAGGACCAGCCAAAAAAGTGTGTGTGTGTGTGTGTGTGTGTGTGTGTGTGTGTGTGTGTGTGTGTGTGTGTGTGTACATACATACAAAATCTAAGTAAGGAGCATGGATATATTCCTGTAGTCCCAGTGTGTGTGTGTGTGTGTGTGTGTGTGTGTGTGTGTGTGTGTGTGTGTGTGTGTGTGTGTGTGTGTGTGTGTGTGCGTGTGTGTGTGTGTGTGTGTGTGTGTGTGTGTGTGTGTGTGTACATACATACAAAATCTAAGTAAGGAGCATGGATATATTCCTGTAGTCCCAGCAGGAAGATCACTGGAGCCCAAGAGATCAACCTGGGTAACAAAGCAAGATC